ACGGCGCCCTCCGTGTTTGTGGCTTCCCCCAAGGGCGTGGACTGGACTGTCTTTTCTTGCTTGAGCAGCTCCCTGCACAGTTCTTCTGTTCTGGAGTGTGCACAGAGGAGAGTAATTTATGCTGGAAGAGAACAGTGATAGTTACAGAGCTGGACCACACAAAAGAGTTTTCCGCAGTAGCACTCAGTTTTTTTAACTTAACCAAAGTTTGTCTATCCTCTGTGTTTACGAAGTTTACTTTTAAGTATGCCTGCATTGCAGCTGAGCAGAACAAATAGGCTGAAACTCCAGATTTGTTAACTTTTAACTGTAAGTTGCTTGCAGCTTCCTGTTTGTGCCCTTCTAAGTAAAAGTCTTTTTAATACCATCTCCTTCTTCTTATCCCCCAAATAGGAAGGAAAAATATAGATAGATTCATTGTTTTATAGCTCTCACAAAGGCTCATAGCTGATAGTAACAATGCTTTACCTTTATTTGTGTCTAGAAATCCAGTCTTAAATGGACAAGTGTGGACAGAGAATTGTGTCTTGAAGCTCTTGTGGTACTTGAGCAAGTAGTAGGCAAAGACAGGCATAAACTTGAAATGTGATTAGTACTTAGACTGCCGTAGAAAAAAGTGTTTTGGTTTTTCTGCTTAGTGCTGTGATAACTATCTGATAGGTTTAGATTTGTTGCTCTTCATCCCAGCGTTTGAGATAGAATATACTGTAATAATGACTGCGTGTTTACTTCCACTGCATGCTGTCTTCACTTATCTAAATTCCTGATTGCCTGTAAAAATCGAGGTTGTAGCTCAGGTGATATCTTTCGTGTCACTTGGTAGGGTGTTTTGGAGTGGAACGTACAGTCTGGCATCTTACTGTTCTTGAGAGCACTCCCAGACATGATTGTCTTTGCCTTTTGAGGAAAGGTGAGACTTCTCTCCCGGAGTCAACTTCTCTTTGCCATTTATTGCCTTCAAAGCCGGGGCTGCTCTGTGGGAGTATACCTCAGCTCCCTTGGCACGGTTTCTCCATGCTGACCCTAGAGCAACTGTTTTCCTTTTGATAATTTACTAGAAGATCTGTAAAGCAGAGTTTACTATAGAATCAGATTTTTCAGGTCTCCTGCCCCCAGACTCAGCTGATGTTCCTGGGAATCAAGTAAACAGGAGGAAAAACGAGCAGTCTGTTGCAGAGAAAAAGAATAAATTCCAGGGCGGGAGCTGCCATCTCCAAGTTGGCTTCCAGGTTTGGAGGAGCAGCTGCTTTAATAAGTGAATCAATGCTTGCCAGTCTTTCTTTCCTGGTTAATTATAGTAAGCCTGTCATTTCTCTAGCCATCAGTAACACTTCCTCTGTACTGATAGTGTTGTCTAAGGTGGGCTGAAGGCTGACTAGGCTGCTGGTGAGGTGTTTTGCAGGAAGAATGAAAAAACAGTTGCTCTTCTGTGATCTGGAGTCTAGCTCTTCTTCCTGTCTTGTGGGTTCTCCATCGTGGGAGTTCTGAATACTTTGCAAGCGTGTTGCTGGCATTTCAGACAGCAAGGGTGTTCCTGCTCTGGAACTGCATTATGCAGCATGGGTGCTAATGACAGAAGAGCAGCAAAAGTATAGGTAACCCCACCTCAGCAGGCCACACTGAGCTCTGTGCTGCAATGGCTGGATGCATACTGCTACAGGGACTGTACAGGAGCTAATTAAAATAACAGATACGTTAGAGGACAATTCTAATCTGACAAAGCTGCTTGCAGTGTCTTAAGAGAGCACGTTGGCGGTTTTATGCATTCATCGTGCAGTTGTAAGCAAGCTAACAACAGAGATCTCTGCTAATTGGCTTGTATGTGCAAGTCTTTGAGCACTCAGTAACTGAGTAACAGGAGTCACTGCAAGTTAGGGTGCCCACTTAACTTGAACCCCAGACCTGCTTAAGAGTTTGAAGCAAACAATTGTAGCTGAATGTTTATTTGGGGAATAAATAGATGTTTTCTAGTTGAATAAAAACCTTATAGAATAGATAACTTTAATTCATTAAACCGTGACTTCTTGTTTTAAAAATTATTATTGGATGAGAATGTGAATATTTGCACACTTTCAGTGCATGCGTTATGATAATTTTGAAGAAGGTAAAAGCCCAGGCCTGGCAGGGGCACAACTTACAAGCTTGTGAAAATACATGGTGAACTTTGCAAGTAGTCATGTAAGTCTTGTCATGATCAGGTTTTATATTTATAAACAAATGTTGCAGTCTTGGCAACTTATGAGGGGACTCTTTGCAGCAAGGATGAGATTCTGTTGGAAGATGTGTTACAAATTGTCAGCATGAACCATTAATAATGGCAGTCTTTAATATGAAGTGTGTTGTTGGGTAAATCTTTAAATAACACAGAGTTGTTCAATATGATATTAGAGTGCTGGATTCGTGTATTCTTAAAGACCATATAGCATTTCATTTTCAAATTAACCTTTAGGTCATGTAGACGCAGCTTGTGTGTCCGCTCTTTATCAGACATGAGAATTAGGCAGACAAGCATTCCGTTTTGAATATTCCCAGTCTTAAATCAGAGAGCACTAATAAAGCAAGCAAGTATCATACCAAAGTAAAGTCAGTTAAGTTACTGAAGGAACCATTTTTTTCTTTTTCAGAATTAAAAAAAGAAACTTTTCACAATTTTGATCCTAAGTTCTGTTAATGTCATAGTCCTCAGTGTTTACTAAGCATATATGGGAGTGATATTCAGGACGGAGTTTTGTTGCTTTTGATATTTATCATATTTTTTGTTGTTTTTGATAATTAGTTCCTCTGGCTTAGCTGATAGTTTTTCTTTTCTGTATCGGGATGGCTGAAACTTTGAAACAAGAAAAAATAGCAGCAGATATCCGTTGCACGCTTCTAGTGCAATTTTTAGGACAAATCATTGTTTATCCTAAAATTTACATAATCTTCCTGATTTTCATGAACAGTGTATGAATACTTGTTATAAATAAGCAACACGAGGAACAGCAGGGCAGACCCATCAGTACTACTGCAAAAATGATCTCATTAGGTCTTCCCTAATGCTTGAATGCATTCAGGGTAGGGTTTATGGAATTTTACTGGTGTTTTTCTTTGCAGTAATCTTCAAGCTCCACAAGGGGGTAGCAAAAGGAAAGAGGATATCTGTTACAACTACTTCAGTGTATCAGCGTTTACACCATCTGCTGTGGAAAGCTTTCTCGTAGAGAAGTATTTGGCATGTAGAAAAGACTACACAGTCTCTACTTGTTGAGACTAGATGCTTGATGAGCTGACTGTAATATAATGATGGAACCGATGAGATCTTTATGGAACCTAGGAAACAATCAGGATCAGAGACAGTTGGATGTATGTTGTGGGAAGGGGTTTTTACATTTAAGATGATGTTTTTTTCTTGAGATACTTTGTACCGTTTTAAGTGAAAACAATCTTTAACCATGCGATAGTACTTTATGCCAAAATGGTTCCAAAATAGTGCTTTTTCCTTGATAAAGCGTAGCGCAACCATGATATAAATTCTTTCACTTAGAACTGAGACCAATTTTTCAACAGCTGATTGAACTGAAAAATGCAGTAGCATTTTCCCTCTGTATGATGAATGGTGACATTATTTTTAAACCCCATTATGAAGCTTAGGGTTGTGAAAGGCCAAAGATCTAGAAGCATACTGAAGCTTTGTATTGACTTGATTGAGAATGGTACTATCCTTAGAAAGACAAAAGGAAGATACTTTCCAATGGTGAACTAGAAGCAAGAAAACTCAGATGTGTTTCTCTCTTACTGGACTATGAAGTCACAGGTGAATTTAGATTCAGTGAGAATATATGATTCAGATGATCTTTTTTTCTCCTCTCTCCTTTTTTTCTGTTTTTGCAAAAGAACTAAAACAGGTCAGCAATGAGCAAGAACAAGAAATCAGCAATTACTAAAGCGTAACAAATACGTGGTATTTGTGGTTCACTTGATGTTTAGTCATTGCAAATTGTATCAAAGCACAGCATAGGGCTTTCAGCCTGATTTCCTAAGGAAATAAGATCTGTGTAATTAAACTGGCTCTTTGCTTGGCCTCCTTCTTTTCCTTCTTATTGTGCTTTGAAGCCATTGGTCAGTTTGATAAAAATTTGAAAGAGAAGTAGTTACCTGAAAAGGCTTCCTAAAAAGTAGAAGCAAGAATCCTTTAATATTCCTACTTAGCTTGTGTATTGAACAAAATCAGACATCAGCAGATCTGCACAGGAGAAAATTAGTGACCTACTGCAGGCAAAGCACTTGTACCTTCTTACATACCAGAGGGCCTAATTGCAAAACTGCAAAGAAATGCAGCAGTGCTTACAGCACTTGCAGTTGTCAGCAGATTCCTTTTATTCGCGCTTGCAAATATTCTACTGAACTGTCCTCTTTTTCAGAAACTTGTGCAGGTATTTCTCACCCATATTTCATGGGTACTATTTGCAAATAGTACCCATTATTTTTGTTTTGAGGATAAATGATGAATTAGCACATTTTTGGGCCTTTTCCCTATCTTTTTAAATGTGGTGTGTGTAACTTAAAGAAGAATCATGGTGACAGTGCAAAATTGGAAAGTTAAATTAAATATGATTGCTTAAAATCACTAATTGTAACTTTCCTTTCTGGGAGGTTATGCTGGAGATATAATGAATGTTAGGTCGATTCATAGTGTAGATGCATCTCAAGCAGAAAATGTATTCTGTTACCACCTAGTTAGTTTTCCAGTTTTACTGTTAAGTGGATTGTAATCTCAATAAATCTAATGTGTACTTTTTTTGTGTAAGATTGGAATTATTGGTGGAACTGGCCTGGATGATCCGGATATTTTAGAAGGAAGAACAGAAAAATATGTCGATACTCCTTATGGCAAGGTCTGTATAGCCTATTATTATATTACTAAAACTTTTTTATGTTTCAAAGGACATCTGTATGCTTCAAGAGTTTTCAGACTAGGTTTCTGAGTTAAATGGACACATAAGGGGGTGCAGTCAGAAGACTGTATTTCTGTTTCATTGCTGTGCATTTTTTGGTTCTTAATTTGTGGAAACAAGGTCTTACAAAGGTGATAAAGTGCCAAAGAGAATATAGCTATCCTGCTTTGTACGTTGGATGAACTGGCAAACTCAATACTGATTTTGCAATCTAAGACGGGATAAAGTCTCTCTTTCAAATTTAGGCTATTCTTTGGCGTGTGGCATGTGTCAAACAGCTCCAGGAGCCTTTCTGAGTGGCAGAAAACTATCCTTTCGCATATATGGACTGTATTTTCCCTGCAGTCTCTGAATTACCACTTTACATACCAGTGTTTTCCTTACAGGCATGCCTGTAAGTGCATCATTTGAAGCTGATTTGAAAATGAAGCCCTATGGCTATTGATGTGCCACGGGCACTCTTGATCAGCTGTCCTTCACATTACTTCAGCCTTTTTCCACAGCAAAAGGGAGTAGAGACTACATATCTGTGCTCTGTACACTCTGCCTAGTATGTAGTGAAAAACAACTTCTACCCCAGAGAGTATGCAATGGAACAGGCAAGACAAAGGATGAAAGACAGTTCTGGAAGTGGGAAATCAAGGCAGAGAGAAGTTCTAGTTAGCACAGGATGTTTATAGCAGAACTGGATCTTAGATGTTCTATAATCTCATAAAACCAGAAGAGGCTGAGTGCTTTAGAATTGCCATGAAATTATGTCTTAGGAAATCTACTATAAGTAGATTTAGTGCTATAGTGTTGTACACTATAAGCTAGTGTACAAACAATGGAACATCTGGCATGTGGCAGCAAAAGTCATTTTATGAGGCGAAGCTTGCCAGAAAGCTCAGGTCTGTGGTGTATGTTTCAAGATCTGAACTGGTGCCTGCATTGAAAATGGTTTAGGGGACAAATAGGAATGTAAAGAGCAAGTGGGGTTTTTGTGTATGCTGTTCAAGAAGAGGAAGGAGACTAAGAGAAGAGAAAATGTAATCAGGAAAGTATATTTGAATATATTCAAAGGGTATATTGCTATCCAAAGCAATATAGTATACTTTCGGAAAGTGTATTTCCACTGTCCTGCAACAACTGCTAGCATACTGCAAGAGAGAATGAAGGGAACTTTCCTCCTGTATTTTCTATATGCTGACCCCAAATGGTAATCAGTATTGATCTGAAGTAGAATACATTAGCTAAACCAAACTGGTTGCCACTGTGTTACCTGTTTTTTGAGACTTGTGGGTGGTCATAAGATAGCTATTTCTGGAGACTGCTTGCAAAGCAAAAATACTACTGCGCTTACAGCAGATACAAACTGAAGAATTGTATACGGGAGGATGCAACACTCTTCTTCACAAAGGTCTATTCAAATTAGAGTTCAGGGCAACATTAGAATTCTGTTCTGTTACAGCACTTGGATGCAGCAGAATTTGATGGCCCCATTCTGCAGTGCAGTAGGTGGCCCATACACTGAGATACCTGCAGGATGGACCCCATGTGGGAGAACGGAAGAAGCTTCCTCGGTCCTGCATCTTTCGTCACTACCAAATGGCTTTTTAAATTTCGTTTAGGAAACAGTTTAGCTACTGTTTTGGGGGGGTTCTTTGCAAAATGCAACATGGATCGGGGAAAACAAATCTCTTGATTGCCTATTGTAGTTTGTGAGACACCTGAAGAAATGGACTTGCTACGTCTAATCATGTGTATCATGCATTTAGCCTAGGCTCAACTTAAAAAATAATGAATATTCTGTCTCTGTGTGCGTGTGTGTTATAAATTTTATAACTGAGGACATGTCACAATAGAAACGCAAATGTGAGTTCTAGATGTTGTGGTAAGCTGGACTGGTACTGTTAAGCCCTAATGTAAATGGAAAACTCTGCAGCTTCATAGGGTTCCCATGCCTGTGAAAGG